AAATAAAATATTTTATTAAAAAATAGTTCAGAGTCCTAGCAGGTACAGCATATTTAAGACAGTTAAGAGTAAAATTGGCAATAAATATTCTAATCCCAATAAGACATCTGTTAGTACATACTCGTACATAAAATAAAATAGATATATATTTAAAATTTGTAAAAGCGAAATAGCCGGTATTCATAATCGGTTCTTATGGCTAAGATAGTCTCAAGTACAATCTTGAGGTTCCATGAATCCATCAGAGGGCTGTATTAGTATCTTAAGACATTACTCAAAATGGTCTTCAAAGAAGAATGAACTATGAATACTGCATAGAAAGTTTTAGTGCAATTTAACGTAGTGATAAATAGGCTTAGATACATATTTAAAATCTGGCAAAAGTGAGAAAAAGTTTTAGTGCAGTTTAATATAACGACAAAATTATAAATCTATTTAAAGTTCTAATACAGTTAAGTGCAGGAATAAAATAGATCTCAAGAATAGATCTAATATTACTGAATAACAGATTAAATTTAAAAGAAGAAAATATACTTATTTATATATAAATTATATTAGAATAAAATATTTATGAAAAAATATTAAAACAACACACGTTTTTAGATGATAATGCAACAATATCAAAATTTATTGTTTTAAAAAAAATATATTTTTATCCAATATTTACCATATACCATAAGCATAAACGCAAACATAAATGACCTAACAATATTACATTACAACTTTAAAACAATCTTTTATATATCGAAAGAATCAAGGTGTTTTTATTCACATCTTTTAGTTCACTTACTTATTATTTTACTCCGTTATTAATGTACTTACTGTAATCTAATTAAAGATCAACCAAGATGACAAACTAGTACTAGTTACTGCAAATCGATCATTAGGATCTTAACACCAGTGTCGCCAACACGTTTTTGATAGAAAAAATTTCTAAATAATTTAAAAACCTCTAAAAATCTTCAGTTATTCACTAGAAAATTCGAAAATCTCCAATTTTTCATTAAAAAATTTATAACGTTTTCGGCCCGACCGAGTTTGCACCTCTGAACTACAATATAACTGGAACGTTCACTGCCGTGCTCATGATGGAATTAGGATGAAATCACACGGTGCGGAAAACGACTGCAAGTCAATCCGACTGCCAACTCTGACTACCGACCAATAATGGACCAATCACAATAAGATTAATTCAAAGTGGTTGGTCCATAAAGCAACCAATCAGCGCTATTCCGCACTTTTTCATCACACAAATTTTGTGTACTATGTTCACATGATGCGTCAAAAAGGCCGGTATTCATAATCGGTTCTTATTTTAAGATTTTCTTAAGTAATAGGCCAGTTGCGGAATTCTCTAAACGTTTTATCGACAATTGTTGCTATCGTTAACTAACGACAGCCAATGACAGTCGCGTTGTCTTCCAGAATTATCTTGTCATTGGCTGATGCTAGTTAACGATAGCGACAATCATCGATAAGACGTTTAGAGAATCCCGCTACAGGGTACCTATCATGGAATAAAATCAGAATGGATTCCGATCGGAATTATTCCGTTTTCCACAGAAAACACAATGGAAATCTAAGGAATAATTGAATAATTCCGATCGGAATCCATTCCGAACATTTCCATAACAGGTACCAAATTCAGTATCCTATTACCGTTCAACGCTCGACGGCCGAGCCGATCCGCCTCGCCGGATCGTGAGCAAACGTGTATCTCTGGAGCATCGCAATATAAGAAATATGTTGCCACCGTACTTTCCAGCAAATATGCATTAGTAGGACTTAGAAATTCGTGCGCGATTTCGTTTTTTCACCAATCAGCGTTCGGTGTCAAAGCGCTGTTGCCCGTATGAGGATCCGGGCTAACAAATCATATTTGAACAATTTGATCACATGACCATTGCGATTGGTCAATTCTTTCTTTATACGGTCTCGGTCCGATTTTTAAGCCTTGTGTCCACGATGTTAGATATCAGTCCGAGATCTCGGATGAAGAAGGAATTGACCAATCGCAATGGTCATTTGATCAAATTGTTCAAATGTGATTTGTTAATTTTTTCTCTGTCCGAGATCTCGGATTGATTTCTAGCATCGTGGATATCGGACTTTAGCATCGTGGACACAACGCTTAAGAACTGACTATGAATACCAACTCTAGCCACCATATACTACGTTTACACGGCACGCTTTACGCCGAAGTTATAACATCGATGTTATGAAA